GGGCGGGGGGGGGGGGCGCGGGCCCCCGTGGGCAGCACCCAACCCCTGCGCGCAGGGCTGCTCCTTCGGGTACCACGCTGGAGGCTGGGGGAAGCCACCCGTGGACGAGACCGGCAAGACGCTCTACGGGGATGTGTTCGGCACCAACGCCGCCGAGTTCCAGGTACGTCGGCACCCACGGGTGTCCCTGGGCACCCTCAGGCCCCCCACGCCTTCCTGGGCATCTGTGGGCATTCACGGGCTCCCCTGAGCCCTACCAGGCACCTCTGTCTCCTTCCTGGGCACCTCCATCTACCTCGCCTTCCTCCTGGGCACCTCTGTCTATCTCCTTGTCCTCCTGGGCACCTCCATCTCCCTTCTAGACATCCTTTGTCTCTGTGGGCATTCACGGGCTCCCCTGAGCCCTACCAGGCACCTCTGTCTCCTTCCTGGGCACCTCCATCTACCTCGCCTTCCTCCTGGGCACCTCTGTCTATCTCCTTGTCCTCCTGGGCACCTCCATCTCCCTTCTAGACATCCTTTGTCTCCCTCATCTCCCTCCTGGGCACCTGCATCTTTCCCCTGGGCATCTCCATCTACCTCATCTCCCTTCTAGGCACCTTTGTCTCCCTCGTCTCCCTCCTGGATACCTTCATCTTCCTCCTGGGCACCTCTGTCCCTTTCTGGGCCCTCTACCGCCCTCATTTTCACCTTGGGCATCTCCATCTCTCTCCTGGGCACTCCAGGCACCTTCATCTCCTTCCTGGGCATCCTCATCCCTATCCTTGGCACCTCCGTCTCGCTTTCAGGCATCCCGGGGTACCTCCGTCTCCATCCCAGGCACCTTTTTCTTCTTCCTGGGCACCAAATGCACCCCCATCTTCTTCCTGGGCACCTTCATCTTTCTCCTGGACATCTCTATCTTCCTCCTGGGCAGCTCAGGCACCTCCATCTCCTTCCTGGGCATCCTCGTCCCCATCCTGGGCACCTTCACCTTCCTCCTGGGCAGCTCCATGTCCCTCTTGGGCACCCATGTTTCCATCTTAGGCATCTTCATCTCCCTTTTGGGCACCCCCTGCACCGTTCTCTCCCTCCTGGGCACTTCCATCTCCCTCCTGGGCACCCATGGGCACTTCCATCTCCCTCCTGGGTGCCCCCTGAACCCTTGTCTCCTTGTTGAGCGCTTCCATCTCCCTCGTGAGCACCCCACGCACCCTCGTCCCCTCCCCCCCGTCTCCCT